GAGAGACGCTAATACTTAACAGTCAAGAGCCTGGACGCTGAAATCCAGCTCCCTGGGTTTGAATCCTGGCTCTGCTATTTACTATGCCTTTGAGCAATGTTCTGGTTCCCTAGTGCCACACTGATAGGAATATACCACAAACGGGATGGCCTTAACAAACAGGAGTTTATCCTTACAATTTGGAGGTTTTAAGTCTGAGTTCAAAGTGCCAGGCTCCAGGGGCTGGGTGAAGGCCCCTCAGCCCTGGGCTTCAGCTCTGCCTCCTGCTCCCAGCCCACTGCAGCTGGACACTTTTCTCCACTCAGCTGCTGGCTGCTGAGGCTGACAAACCCAAGGTTGACAAGTAATAAGGTACAGTCTCGATGTTACCAAACCACATGGCAGGCCATTATTTCAAGTCCCTTAAAAGTCCCAAAGTCAGCAGAGCATGGCAGGCTGCTGACTAATGACACAGCTACATGTCGGGTTCAAGTGTGCCGTAAGCTCGAGACCGTTCCCAAAGCTGTTTCTTATATACAGGAAGTAGACCAAATACCCAAAGCAGCTACTCAGCTGCTCCAGTAGATTCCAGCATGGAGTTAATGACCAATCTCACCATGAGGAATAACTACATCCAACTGCCCAGCCACACACAAACTTCACCACGAGCAAAGTCCTGAATTGCTTTCTGTCTCAGTGTTCTCATCTATAAAACAGGGCCCCTGGTGGTGTCAATCTCATTTTGAGGAATGAACAAGTCAGTCCATGAGAAACACTGCGAGCAGTACCTGACAGCAGTGTGTACGCAGTCAGTGTTAGCTGCTGTCCCCGTTTTCCTTTTCTAGCTTCACACACAGTCAAGCCCCGCCCCGTGGTTTCCCTTATTTCCCTTTATGTGTAGGTCTCAGTTTATGGTGCTAGTCTTTTTTCTTGGCAGGTGGCTTTGCTGCTTAGATAAGAGTAATAACCTTTCTCTCTATAAACATTTTATGTGTTGACATTTTGAATTGAGTATCAATGCTTTGGGTTTTTGCTCTTGTCATAACACTCTGTCATTCTAATGTCACTGTCTGGGGACAGGCATGGTGCTTGACCACAGACTTTCTGTTTTGTATTGAAAGAGGTGCCATATGTAGCCTTTGGAGTTAGAGATAGAATTTGATGTATGGTATTATATAATTCATAGGCTAGCAGGAAGCCAAGTACTGATGTTTTTTTCCCCTTTGAAATACTCCTTTTTTAGTGCCTGGTTAGACTGTAAGATTGTCCTGAGCATTTTCAAATTCCATGTCTAGGGTAGTGTTCTGCCCTAGACACAGGAATGGAGAAAGGGTTGTAGGATTTCTGTGGTCTCTTTCAGTTTTGAGCTCCTGGTTTGGAGAGGAAGATTGCTGTGTTTGTGTGTCTAGAATGATAACGAGTGGCACGGGTCTAGCACGCATCGCCTAACATTGCAGTTATTCAGTACATGCTGAATGTATTTGTTGAACATGTATTTAACATTAAAGATACATTTAATATGCCTAGACTGGGTGGCAAGAAACTTAGATGATTTTAAACAGTTCAAGAAGCATCTCATCAGAGTAATAGTGATACACACGTGGTTACTAAACTTCTGATAGAAATAGGGCATCATTTAGAATTAGTTTTTGCAGAGTTCTAGTGAATTGAAATCTTTGAGCATCAAATCACGTGACTGCCGCTTGCAGAGGAACCTGCTTCTGGGGGTGCCCCTAAAGTGACAGCCGATAGAACCCAAACATTCCCTGGAGCAGACGCCCAGGCGTGGAGACTGATCTGCAGGAGAAAGGGGTTCATCATGGTGGACGACTTAAAGAGATTGCTGTGTAAAAAATTACCAAGTGTTGAAGGACTCCATGCTATTGTATCTGATAGAGATGGAGTATCTGTTATTAAAGTGGCCAATGACAATGCTCCCGAGCACGCTTTGAGACCTGGCTTCTTACCTACTTTTGCCCTTGCAACAGACCAAGGCAGCAAACTCAGACTCTCAAAAAACAGAAGTATTATGTTACTATAACACCTACCAGGTGGTTCAATTTAATTGTTTACCTTAGGTAGTGAGTTTCATAGCCAGCAGCAGTGCCAATACAGGATTAATTGTCAGCCTAGAAAAAGAACTTGCTCCATTATTTGAAGAATTGAGACAAGTTGTTAGAAGTTTCTTAATCTGACAGTGGTCTTGATGTGTACATTATCCTCATAGTATCAACTCAGCAATCTCTAAGCTACAGTAATACTTGTATCTGTGTACTCAAGAAAGGGCCCTCTCTTCCACCTTACACAAAAGAAAGCGCCTATAGATATAATTTCTGGACAGACTGATGGTTATATTTCCTTGTTTAGTTTTTTGTTATTTAGTGAGATCTGGGAATACCACAAAAATGGTTCAGGCTTTCACAGCTCCCATGGAGTTAAGTTAGTTCAGTCACCAAATACAGATGAGACTCTTCAATGGATCAGAATCAAAATGGTACCTTGATCCACTTGAACCATTAAGTGCTCTCCATTGTAAAATATGCCCAGGCCTGCAGAATGAAGCAGACCCTTTCTATTGTGAATAATAATAAGGACATATTTTTCTTCATATTACGTTTTATTTCTTTGCATTGAATGTGAGGAAAATAAAATGGCTTAGCAAAAGTAATAAAATCAGTACAATCACTAACTTTCCTATGTATATATTATTTTTCAGTATAGATGACTATTACTAATTGATTTGATTCTTCTCAGAGGGTGCTGCTCTTTACCTAAAATTCAAATTATAACTAATGATTTTCCCCCCACTCTGCTATCTATAACCAATCAGTGTTATAATGTTTGTGTGTTCTTTATAAAATTTAGATGTGATTTGATACCAAATTGTTTCCAATATTGATATGTATGTAAACATGATAATACAACTTTTTTTCATACATGAATATAAATAAAATATAAAATAAATATAAATATAAAATAAACAAAATAAAGTATTTTTAAAAGTTAAAAAAAAAAAAAAACTTTTAGTACCAGTTTCTATAGTAGATAAATTCTTTTAAAAGTTACCATACAGTAAATAGGACTTTTTTTTTTTCTGCTGGTGTATACAAAAAATACCAAACCCACTGCCATCGGGTTGGTTCCGACTCATAGTAAACCCCACTGGGTTTCTGAGGTGGTAAATCTTTACGGAAATAGATTGCCCTGTCTTCCTTACGCAGAGTGACTGATGGCTTTGAACCACCAACCTTCTGGTTAGTAGGCAAATGCCTTAGGGACTGTACCACCAGAGTACCTCAAAATGTTTACATAGTGTGATTTAGAAGTATTGTCTTAGTCATATTGTATCAGGGTATAAGGAATTAATGTGTAGCTAAGAATCGTTCAGTCTTCCTTCCGTGGAGCGGCTGGTGGGTTTGAACCTCCGACTATACATTAGCAGTCAAATGTCTAGGTCCATGGATTCTAACACATGTATAGGTTCCTATACTTCTACCACAATCAGGATAGAGAACAGTTCCATCACCCCCAAAACTCCCCTGTGCTGTCCTTTATACTCACACCATTCATAGATGTAGTTTTGACTGTTGGGTACCAAATGATGGTTAATCTCCCTTTTTAATATTTATTTTCAGGTTTTCTTGTGTGAAAAATGAACTTTTGCCTAGTCATCCTCTTGAATTATCAGAAAAAAACGTAAGTATGTTTCTAAGTTCCTGTATCTTTATTTTTATCCTCTGGTGGCACAGTGCCTAAGGCATTTCACTGCTAACCAGAAAGTTGGCAGTTCAAACCCACCAGCTGCTCTGTGAAAGGAAGATGAGGCAGTCTATTCCTAAAAGATTAACCACCTCAGAAACCCAGTAGGGGTTGCTATGAGTCAGAATCGATTCGATGGCAGTGAGTGAGTGAGTATAAAAATACTTTCAGTGATGCGTAATTTGTGGTTCCATTTTATTGAAACAGTTCCAGTGTTAAGGATTACTCTGTCATATAGAGTAGCTATGAATTAGAAATGACTTGAGGGCAACAGGTAATACTAAGGATGTGACCGAGAAGAATACATGGTCTTATTTCCAGGGTCTTTGTAAGGGTAGATTGTTGAATGATCATCCTGCTTCCCCAAAGCTCCCTTTCCACATATTTCACTATCTTTTCTTTTTTATGGACATCTCTCAAGGTCAGTCGCCATCTCTCTATTTGTCTTATAATATCTTCCCATTTGATGACCTCATTTTCTTTTACCATATTCTCCCTATCGTTTTGCTATTGACCTCTTAGTCCGCATCTATAGCCATGACCTCTTTCTCAAGCCTTGCATCTTCAAGTCACTGAGGGGCACTGTCCACAGTGGGTGCACAGATGGAGGTGACCCAGTCCTCATCCTGCAGGGCCATGCTTTCTAATAGGGAAGATAGTCAGTGGATTGTACTTCATAAAGTGCTGTCAGCTCCGGAGTTGACATCCCAGAGAATAGAGTAAAAGCTTAGGAGGGTCATCACAAAACCACAGTTGATCCTCTCAGAGAAATCATGGGGGAACATGAAAAATAACCCAAAGCCTGAAGATACACTAATATTCCTTTTTTCTAAACGAGATCTGACTAGCCAACAGAGACTGGCTGTGGAAGCCTGGGATCTCGGCACTGTTCTTAAGCAGGCTGGTAAGTCCACTGTGGGAAGTGAGCAGTGAGCACTGGCAGTCACGTGATCTCACGCCACGTCTCCCTTCGCTGTTGTGTTAAACGACCAGACGGATCCCTCAGAGAGGTTATTTGACAGAACACAAATTTTTTATTTTATTTTATTTATTTATTTTTATTGTGATTTGGGTGAAGATTTACAGAGCAAATTCACTTTCCA